TATATATATATATATATATATATATATATATATATATATATATAGCCATTAACTTTTTGTCTTCCATTATTTCCCGTTAATATTAAATAAAAAATGATCAAAGACTTTAAAAACATATCAACTAAAAAAAAATTTGTTTTGGAAATAGAAGTATTCACTGCAGTCCAGAAGTTCTTTTCACATATCCTTGCTTTTTCTTTTAGATGAAAGGAAAAAATTCACGAATAATTTTGTTTACTGCTGCTGTCGTCGCATATTCAATAACTGTTTCAATGGTTCTACATCACTGGCTGTAAGTTTGGGTTTTGTATGTATCGGTGTAACTGGTTCATTTTCTGGTGCTCCTTCCAAAGGTAGCCTTAAATTAAAATATAATGAAAATAATGATAGTAAAATGTCATGAAGATTTTCGATAGTACAAACGAAGCATGAAGTAAATATTTGGAAAACCAATCGTTACATACTTACAAGGCAAGTATTTTTCTATACTCAATATAAAACAAGAATGAATAATAAACTCGCCTTTGGAATGAACGACGTACGCCCATTGGCTTTGCATTTTCATCAGATGATGTGACAAGAGCACAAGCAGCATTACCAGTCCACCAGCCTGTTTGTCGATAACTACGCAATGCTTCACGGTGTGCACGAATGGATTCCATTACCTTAAAGATATATAGGAATACATTTCCAAACGGATTCAACAACAAAACTTCATGATATGGTGTATTTCAAAGATTGGAATTCTCAAAATTCGATTAAAAATCTAAATTGGAACTTTGGAACTTAAAATTCGACTAAAAATCTAAACTTCCTATTTAATCCGATGGTGGTTAGCACGCTAATAATCTGTCAAAATAGCAAGATAAAAAAAAAAACTCCAATGTTTTAAATCGTTATAGGGTATTGAAACCTGAAATGGAACTTAAATCACCATCCATTATAAAATGACAGATGACACCGATAAAAAACTCACGTTGTACAATTCGTCAGTAACTTCCGGTGTTTCGCGATCTTCTAAATCCATCTTCTTCAAATGAAGAGTAATGAAATCCTGCAAACGAAGATATAATTCCAATCATTTTGAAGATTGTTTCCACATTAAGCTGAGCACAAAAAACAAAAATCGAAGCACGAAAAATCAAAGCATAGTAAGTGAACACATGTGATTCAGAATATTCATTCACAAAAGAAAGTATGGCAGTTCGTTGCAAAAGCCATGCTAGGGAGATTAGAAACAAACATTCCAGTTTAAAGTTTGCACTTGATGAATGCTTGAGGGAATGCGAAAAAAAAATTGGAGAGTTGTCAATGCTCACCTTATATGGAAGGCGCTTTACTTTACGACCCTTTAACGAGTATAGTTCAAATTTCGTAGTACAATATTTATGGGAATTAGATTTTAACTAAGTTTCTTCGAAATAGTTTTAACAGTAAGGATGAGCAACTCTATTAAGAATCCTTGATGACGATGCGAAAGTAAATCACAAGTGGTTTATAATTTTTAGAAAAAGCTTACTCTCACTCTAAGTTAAGTGATCGGTGAAGTTATCTTTGGCTGAAAATTACGGAAATATATTTGAATATTCTGAACGACACAAGACCTACCTTTGCAACTTCTAGCTCTAGAATACTTAAGTAACAAAACACTCAAATAAACTTAGTTACATTAAATTAATTTCAACAGAGCTACAACATAAAAAGCATTGATAAAGCCTCTACAACGAACTGACCCGCATTCG